TTTTTTAAATATCATGTTAATATTAGCAAATTCATTATAACCAGATGTCTTGCTTGATGGGTTTGGGTAACCATTTGATGATAATTGTGGCAATGAGTTTTAACTACATAAATTCACTTGATTAAGCATTTTCAAATCAGACTATAACAAGAGCCTTATTCCTCCCTTCTCCCCCAACATAATATCCCCTGGTGTTCTGGCATGGAAATGAATCTCTAATAGAATTTAAATATGCCTCGGAGGGCTCTGGGTTCTGTGGCACCGAAAGAAGCTACAGGATGTAGGTGGTGGCCTCCCATCCTCTGGGTTCTGTATCTGGCCAAACTGTGCATCTGGCGTTTCCCAGGAAGTCTGGTGCCAATGTCATACAATGCCACATCTGTTTTCAACAAATGTTTAAGCACCAAGTTCTTAAATTCCTGGCAGGGAAACCTAGCATCCAGGATTTCTAAAAATAGGTTTGAAGTTTCAACAGATTTGGGGTTAATAAACTCTTGCTGAATTTTTCTCTTTGGGAATCAAGCTATCATTTTGCTTTCACTGTGGAGTTTCAGCCACAGTGCATTGCTGCAGATTTGTATAAATAACTAATTTCAGTATCCTGGTAGATATTTAATGTTATTCCTGTCTGAATAGTATGGAATCGTTGTTGTGAATACTTCCTGTCATTATAAATAAAATGAAAAATCTTTTTGTTTGAAGATAAATTCTGTGTTTAGGACTTTCACGTGAAAAGTTGGCCAGGATGTATGAAACCTTAATTCATGTTGCTTCAATTTTTTTATAATAATGCTGTATAAGGTAGATACTGTATTTTTCAAAAATGGGGGGATTGAGGTCTAGATCAACTAAATAACTTGCTGATGGTAGTATAGCCAGTAAGTGGTTCAGCCAAGATTCCCCAGGACTAACTCTCAGTGCTGCCTTGGTCATTACCTCAGCCGCAGGTCCAGCTCTGCTGTGATCCGTGTGGGAGTTATTGCTAGTGGCGGAATTCATGCTTCCTGAGATCCCATATCCTTTGCAGAGCACTGAGTGTAAAATATTGCTTATTTTGCAATGTATCTTTGGCTGTTTACTTTATATAACAATTATAATTCTACCCACTGAATTTCTTCATTACATTTTTTTCCATCCAGTTTGTAGCATTTTAAAGGTTGAAAGGTTGGTTCATCCTTGGCTCGTGCTTATTTTTTCAGGATGAAAATAGAACTCACAATCAGATTGTAGTTAATGGGTAATTTATTTTTAATTTTCCTGAACATTTAACATTTACATTTCATTCCATTTCTACAATGTATTTATGTCAGCTAGTTATTTTTGAACATGTATTTTCTTGTAATTAACTTTTTAGTAAATAATGCATTCAGTTAGTTTCAAATTCAAGACATAGAAAATAAAAATAAGAACAATAGTTAACTAGACCTGTGTGGCACTTGGTATGTTCCAGACATTCTTCTAAGCACGTTTAATTGCATTAATTGAATTCTCGCTAAAGTGAGGCTGCAGATGTTGCATCTCTCTTCTGTAAACAAGTGAGCTGAATCAAGAGAGATATCTTAACATTAAGCTGGTGTGGGTTTTGTCCTTTGACCAGTTCATGTCACCTCCTTTGGAAAGCCTTTTTGTGAACACACCTCTCATTTTTGGGTTGGACTCCAGTGCTTACCCTACAGTCAGGGATTTTTCTTCATTGGATGTATTACTACTTTCTCTCATTCTCTCTAAACCATAAGCTTCCCCAAGGCAGGTACCTTGCCTTACACTTTTGTTCAGATACAAAAGTTAGTATAATTATTGGCACACTCCAGGTGCTCAATAACACCTACTTTGCTTTAAAAATAACAGTATCCTCATAGCATACTTTAAAAACCAAATACAAATTTATAGCAGTTTGTAAACTTCAGAGAATTATAAAATTGATATTAGGATGCAATAAAGATGATTTTAGTCTTTGAACAGGAGTACAGGATTTATCAGTTGATCAAGTGGGATCATACAAGTTAAATATATCACTGTGTTTTTGGCCTGGTTATTTTCAGCCTGTAGCCTTAGTGATATCAAGTGTTTTTGTGTATTCTGATTGCATTTTTCAAATATTGTACAGAAGGCAAAGAAGTGTTTGTGTCCTAGTGTTTAAATATTGCTGACTCATCCTGTGTAATTCTAAAACTGCTTCTGTTATCTAATTCAATGTTTCTCAGTGTTGACCATATACAAGAACCTTATGTGTAATACTGTTTTTGTAAATTTTGTATTCTTGGAATCAAATCTCAGGTTGAGAGGGAGAGATCACCTCTGATAATTTTGATGAGCATCTAAGAATGAGAAATAGTCTAAATATGTTATAAATACTGTCTGGAAAGAAAAACTTAATATCACCAAAAATATTTTCAATAGAAAATGCACTTGTTCCATATTTAATAGCTCTTGAGAGCACTGATATTTATTTTGTTACTGTTGTATATATTTTACAGTCAATTTGTATTGGTGAACTGTGCAGATACTCTAATTACTCAAAACCATATGGCCATGGCAAGCAGCTGATAAATGGGTTACAGTTTTCGGGGCTAAAATAATCATCTTTGCCTTGCTTGGGAGAACTTTGGAGTGTTGAGCCAGCCCTCACTTAACAGAAATTGGAGCTTCAGATATAGTCATTGCATGACTTGCTTGTAGAAATGAGGGGCCATCTATTCAGGCAGGAACCTTGATGACACTCATCAGTTTCTATAAAAGGTTGTCATTCGCACCATCTGCTAGTCCTATGGTCAGAATATTATGTGCCTCTGCCCTTAGTAACATGCAGTACTTGCGGGTCAGCCTTCATGGAAGAATATAATCTGGAGTGGTCTGATACCCAGCTCTTGTCAAAAACCTCATTATGGAGAGTTGTTTGAAGGACATGCAGTCCAGATATACTAATTTATCGTAGAGTTTATCAAGGGGAGCCATCAGAAAGCTTTTTTAAATATATATCATTTTGCCGTTCCTTCCTTGTTTCCCCATTTATAAGAGAGTTTGAATTTCCAGGCACATTCATTGGGCGTTTATGCAATAGTTGCATTATCTTGCAGAAGTATTGCTATAGACAAAGAGAATTTGCTTTTATAATTTAATAAGTACAGCCCTGTACTGATATCCTGAAAGGCTGTCTTAGGATGTGGCCAATTAGAAAAGCTTGATGTTTCTTCCATCCTGTTTTTCAGGCAGTGGACCAACTACAAAGTAGAAATATACTACTTCTTTCGCATTATTTTACAGCACTCACCATTTCTCTGCATCTTTATTTTAATATCACCTACTCTCTATTTCTTCCATTTATTCCCTGATAAAATGAGCCATTTTCTCTTTTGTCAAAGAAAATCAACTGAAGATTGGTTTTCTAAATAAGTTATTTTTGTATTGTAACTAAGTACTTATACAATAAAAAATAATAAATTAAAAAAGGCTTTTCTAGCATTTGTGAATGGAAACTCTAAATACAATTACCCATGGGGGAAAAGTTGTTATAAAGTTATTTTCTTATACTTACTAGTCAATAATATATTAGTATTAAACATAAAAACCTAATGTAGAGCCTAACATGATAGGGTATTGCTTTGACCCACCTCTTGATGTAGACCTAACACTACCAGAAAACTGAGGTCTTTCTAATTTTTTGCACACTCCAACATCCTCAAGGGCACAATAATTGGTCTTTAAGCTTCTTACACGGATTCTAAAGTTCTAAAGTGGGTTCACTGTCTATAGATGTCATTTTCCAAAAGATAGAAAGGACAGGGGTGAAAGGCTTTAATTTTTTAAGCCATGTCTGACTGTCCCCAACCCTACCCGCACTTATTTATATCATACTGACCAAAGCTGGGAAACATGACCACTTGTAGGTGTATGAGAGATGGGAAGATTGTACTTGTACTTTTTGCCTATGCTGTGAATTGCTTCTTTCCGTTAGTCCTTCTGAATTGTCTTTGGGGAATGTCATTACTGAAAATGAATCATTTTCTTTATCCTTTGCTTTTAGTATGGCTATATTGTTTTCATCTTAATTGAATTTAGGTATTCACATCACATTTAATCTAACCTTGTTTGCAAAGATAATACTTTTTTCAGGTATATGTTATATTTTGGAAAATGTTGAGATTATTTACTTGATAAGTCAGTTTTAAAACCTATATGAGCAGATACTATTTCACAAACTTTAATACTTTTAGAAGGCAGTCTCTTTGAAGCATTTTGGACAGTTTCTAATATGTTGGAGATAAGCTGTATACAGTGGCTCTAGTTGTTGAACAAATAGCTTTGATATCAAAGTAGCATTAGAAGAGCTTTTTAAGATTCTTATGGAAGAGAAAAGCAATAAAGTATTGGATATGAGATAAAACTATATAGTTGATAAATAACGCCTTTGTGTGCAAGTAAGTGATGAGAAAAATAAAGTAGCACAACAGGGACAATCTAATACAGGAACCCAAGAAAGAACAATCAGACAGATTGTACAACTAGCTACACTTCCATGTAATTTTAATCTCTTAAGGCTTGGTTTACCCATCTTTTCATATTGATAGTAATTATGCTAATTTTATTTTGTCTCCTGACCCTGCCATCTAGAAAGTTCGGCCCATGGTTAGGGTTAGTTGTTAGTTTCCTTTACAGAGTAGATGAAGGTGAATATAATGTGTACTTTCAAAAGCAAGGTGTATGTTAGCATTTATGGCCTACCCAACTTACCTTTTATGTGAGAATACTCATATTTTTACTAGCCAGCTGCCAACCTTAGAATGGTGCAGTATTATGAAGTATTGAGAGTAACTATCTAAGCTGAGAAAAACCAATCTCAGTTGGTGTTCTCTTTGGATCTGTTGCATTCCGTATACATATGTACAGTAAAACTCATGAGAGTTACTGGGTTTTAGATAAAAAAATGTGATTATATCTTCAGAATCCAGGCGTTCTCTGTTGTTTGTTTATACTTTTTAAAACTATTTTTTCCACACCAGGATTTTAAGAGTGGACTTGGTATTACCGTAATTCCTATGAATGTAGCAAATGTCAAGCAAGTGGATCGAACTGCGAAGCAGTCTTTTGAAATCATCACTCCCTATAGGAGTTTCAAGTAAGCTTGTTTTAAAACTTTTTTATATTATTGCAAGAAACCTTGGCAACCCATCTTTATAATCCTAGTGGTGATTTTATCTGTTACAGGACATTGAAAGTAAACGTATATTCTTTCCACTTTGTCTGACTTACTAGCCAGCACATGCAAACACCTTATGAAAGTAGACTGAATAACTGTGCAACCTATAAAGATAGTTAACTTTATAAACTTCAAGTTTTCTTTTCTTAATATGTCTTTTTCTTGGTAGACTTGGTGAATATTTACTTTTTTATCAGTAAATGTGACCAGTTTCTTCATATTTAGAAGGAATAGTTTCAGAAAGCATTTTATGTTGTCTTTAAGTTGTAGTACTACCTTGTTTTAGCCAAATGAGGTACTATCCCTGTTACAATCCAGTCCTACTAGTAGCTGTTCCATATGACTTCCCCCAGAGACTTGGTTCAAAAGGATATGGAATCTAATGGGTCACATAAAGTTATTGATCCAAATATTTTTGCAATATATAAAATTCTTCAGTAGTTCCATTATTGACAAAGTTGATAAAGTATTTAATATTTTAATAACCTATAATGAGTCCATAAATGTAGTATCAGAGTAGACATAATTCACTTTCTATTGAGTTCAGCTACTTTAATTCATTTGTCACAAATAATGAACATCCTCTAGGGTAGTGTGTAAGACAGAGGCAATTGTTCTAGATCTTTGAAAGACTAATGATTACAAGATATTACTGAGTCCATCACATATTTTGTCAAAATGCATCCTGGCTCTTTTATTTTTTAAAGACAGAATGTGGCCTTGAATTAATTATGTAACCCAGGAGGGCCTTGAGCTTGTGGTAATTTCCCTGCTTTAGCCTCCCTGCTGCTGGGACTGGCTCAAATTTTGAGAAGGAAATGACTGATTAAAAAACAACTAATGTTATTTTAACATTTGCAGAATCTGGGTCTGGGGATGTAGCTTAGCGGTAGAGTGATTTCCTAGCATGACAGAGGCCCTGGGTTTGATCCCCAGAGTTCCTAAACAAACAAACAAAAGAACCAAGAAAACCTCAAACCCATGAGACAGAAGTAAATAAAAGTAAATAGACTGAATTCTAGCCTTAACTGAAAATGGAGATACTGGCTGTGACCAATAATTTCATGGAAACAACTGAGGATTTTATTATTATAATGATGGTGCTGGAATCGTGAGGTGCTTCCGTAAGCATATGTGAGCCGTGTACTTTCATGGATTATTTGGAAGTTGCTAGCCAGCTATTATTTTCATTGTATTTGAAACCATTTGAACTTTTTGAGCAGAAAATTGCAATGTGATGAACCATCCCGACAGTCATTGATGGAGTACGTAGCAGTGGGATCAGTAAATCTTTCTTAAAGGAATGTGGCTAAAAATGAGTTGCAAATATGTTAAAATAGCATCCACTTAAAACTTTTCTGGCTTCTCAGTCTCTCAAGGCCATCTGGATATTCTAATTTAAAATATATATATATTTTTAAGTATGAAAAAAAAATCAGTGGATGCTTTTGGTAGCATAGTCTAAGACTATCATGGCATACTTACTTGGCTAAATATTCCAGTAGTCTTAAAGCTCTGCTAGTCTCTTATTGATGATTATATAAGCTTTGTTTAGAAAACAGGGCCTCTTATTTAAACTTTTGATGTAACAAGAAAGTTTTTTATATCTTGGTAAGAAAAATGTATATGGTAATTTTGGTTTAAGATCTGTAAACAAAGTCGTAAACAGTATGGAAAGTGTAAGGGGAGAAAACCGATTTGTTAAATTAGATGATTTTTAACAGAAAGGACAACCCAGAGCTGCCTGGCAGGCATACTTTTCAGCTGTTTCTTAATTTGTGAATGAAACGAATATGCAAACTGAACATACTGCTTAATTGGCCTTTACAAGGGAGATCGATAATGCAGAAACGTTAATTGTTTCAGCTTTACAGCCGAGTCGGAAAAAGAGAAACAAGACTGGATTGAAGCTGTGCAGCAATCGATAGCAGAAACTCTCTCTGATTACGAAGTAGCTGAGAAGATTTGGTTCAATGAGTCCAACAGGAGCTGTGCAGATTGTAAAGCCCCAGACCCTGACTGGGCGTCCATCAATCTCTGTGTTGTCATCTGTAAGAAGTGTGCAGGTAATTAGTGCTAAGTTATGCTCATCGCTGCTGTGTGGCATGCTGGCACTGACTGCTCATTGTCATCGTACATAATGTGTCCTAGCTAATGGTTGTGAAAAGTCGAACCAGGGAGAGCTTATTACATTTAAAATCAATTTAGAAATATTGTCTAATTCTACACTCCTCTTATGCATGACTCAGATGTAAAACTGGATTTTTAAGCATGCAATCATAGTTTGTGCCTGTTGGTTCATGTATAGATTTAAAAAAGTGTTAAAATTTTTAGATTTTAAAATACAATCTGCACAAGCTTGCATCTTTGCATGAAGATTTGTCTACTTTGCAGTGCTGTCTTAGGGCATATTTTTCACGTCAATGTCGTTCCGAACCCTAAACTTCCTATATGGATCTGGCTTGTCTTTAATAAGAATTTTATAAAGATATATTTCAAAACAGTATTATTACTCAGGAAAGTAACTTGTATTGTGACTAGTTTTCTTTCTTTTTTTTTTTTTTTTCCTTACTGAGATCTTAATATCTGACTTCCTGGGTTCTCAGTGTATTTGAGAGCTCAGACAGTTACATAAGGTGGTAGAGGGAAGTGGATCCCAGAACAGGAATGCTTCTAGAGGTTCTGGGGAAAGTTAGCCACCATCTGAACTTAGTGTTCTAGGATTCTTTTCTGTCTCTCTCGTGCAGATAGACAAATGGACAGATGTGTATGTGGGTGTGCATGCACACGCATACTTCACCTAGAATATGTACTACTCTGGGAAATTAAACAGACATATAAGACATGACATTTCTTCTGAAAGTGTATAAATAGTATTTTCAGCAGAGTAGGTTATGTGCAGGACTAGAGTTTAGTACAGGGTACAGAGACAACTGATAGAAGAAGAGCGCCTACCTCAGCTGCAGCAAGACAATGAGCAGTGCAGCTACAACAGTTGCCTAGAACCCTTCATACTTTTCTAGAGCTCACATCTATTACATTTCTCCTACCAAGATAGCTTTTATCACCAGCTAATTAACACCAGGGGCAACAATGAAAAACATGAGGCAGTCACCTTCCGCATTAGATTGTTTTCCATCTTTTTCTCTCTAGCCTCCTTAGAGGAGACAGCTGTGTGTGGTCCTGGGCTTTTCCACTTATGCTTCCTTCCTTTCTCTTTGCTTAGATCCTCACCTTCTCACTTATCCTTCTCACTTACTCTTGCCTGATGATTCAAGCATCGTTTCTGTGTCATCCTGCTGCTTGCATAAGTCTGTCATGTTCATACCATCAAGCTCTCTGAAAGGTTCCGCTCACTGCTGTGTATCATTCTGTGCCCTTTTTTCCTTTCATTTATAAATCTTGGAAGCACCTATATGTCTATCAATAGATGAATGAAAATGTGGCATTTATACAGAATGGAGAACTCCTTTTCCATAAAGAAGGATAAGCATGAGGCATTTGTAGAAAAATGGATGTACTTTGAGAACATAATGTTAAGTGAAATAAATCAGACACACAAGCTTCAATATTGGATAGTTTCTCTAATGTGAGAAACCTAAAATATAAATAAAGAGAAAAATGAAAGATAATAGGAAGTAGGGAAATAGATCTTTTTCAAATGGGAAGATCAAGAGGGGAGGGAGGAGCAGAGAGGGGAAGGAAAGGGAGTGAAAAGGAATTGAAGTGTGTAATGTACATGTACCCATTTCCACTGGGAATGAGATCACTGCATGCTGCCGACATGCACTCCTAAAAATAAAAAATAAAAAAGTGTAGTTTGTACAATGCACTATAGTAAGAAAGAAGATTGATGACACCTTCTTTGTGGTTTTTAAAATAAACTACTCTTAGTGCTATCCACATTTAGCAAGGTAGGCATCAGTGTGTTTTAAGGTGAGATTATTCACATTTTTATGTGTACATATACCTGTGCACATTTTTTAAAAGATAAATTTGTATAAAAGTTAACCTAACAATTTTATTTATTATTATTTACTTCAGGACAGCATAGATCTTTGGGACCAAAAGATTCCAAGGTTAGAAGTCTAAAAATGGATGCCAGCATCTGGAGCAATGAACTCATAGAGGTAAGTCCGTTTGACTGGTCCTGGTGAATAGCGTTCTGGGTAGAGTTATGCAGTGGGCGGCAGGATTTCTTTGGATGGTCTTTTGTGAAGCTATCACCACATTAGGAAAATGGCTATAACTTGTTTGATAAAGTAACTCAGATACCTTTAAATAAGATACTTATTTAAACAAAAAGTACAAGGAGCATTAACAGTAATAACTGCATAAAGGCCTGACAGGTTTTATAAAATTGAGAACTTTCTTTTTAACTGAGCATGGTGCCATGTTAGAAATTTGGATGAAGGCATTTGACAGAATTTACTATTCTTCATCTTCTCCTACCTCTAACTGCTGTTGAGTTGAACGAGCTGTCCGTCTCCATTTCCCTCTTCCTTTCTACTCTCTGCATCTTGCCGGCATTATTCCACCTGCTGTGTTTTGATTTGGTGCATCTTAATATGAGCTTCCTAGAATAAGACTACTTCAACTGCACGGTAAAGACTACTTTACTTCGCGCGGCTTGCATTTTCTTTCTAAGTTAATGTTTTGTTATTATTTAGAGCAGATAGGCTGTATATTAAAAATAGATATATCTGCTTTCACACTTCATCTTCCTGAAAGAGTTGTCCTTCATGTATTCTCCTACATTTTATACTGTTATGTTTTAATTTATAATGAAAGGCGGCTTTCTGTAGACACATTTCATGAAATGGTGCATTTTATGATTTTTAAAAAATGTTTCAGCTTTTTATCGTCATTGGAAACAAAAGAGCAAATGATTTTTGGGCTGGTAACCTTCAAAAGGATGAAGAATTACATATGGACTCACCAGTAGAAAAGAGAAAAAACTTTATTACTCAGAAATACAGAGAAGGAAAATTCAGAAAAACTCTTTTGGCCTCTCTGACCAAAGAAGAATTGAATAAGGTATTCAATAAAATATAACAATATACATGGACTTTAATGCCTTTTTAACATACGCTAAGATTCTTGATAAGAAATGAAAGGTTCTATACTGTCAGACAAAATTATTGTTTAATTCTTATATATCCTTTTGTGAGATTGTACCAGGGATTTTCCCCTTATGTTACTTTAGTATTCACTACCATAAGTGGATAAATTTTTCTTCTGTAACTGTAGTTTGCAGCTAAATCAAACCTGTCCTCAGTATTTTTAAAACTTTGAATAGTTCCTCTGTTTTATAAAAATGTAACTTTTTATATTGTGGCCAGTGTCACCAACATTGGCAGTTTATTCAGTTTATTATTATAAACTGTAACTTGTTAAGTACAGTTGACGTGAAGTCTTATTTCTCTATTATTACATTGCCCATTTGGTCATTTGGCAAAGATTTTCAGGCACAGAATTATGTTAAATGTTCCCATGTCTTTTTCTAAATTTCTGTTTTTTCACTAGGAGGCTTTTATATAGATTTGTTTATTGAAAATGTATGCCTTTATATACCCATTTTTTAATGTTCAGATGATATTGTTTCATTATTTTCAGTTCTTTAATGTTTTTAGTGGCCAGGCTTGTTGGATAAGGATTCTCAGGGACATAGCATTGTGTTGAATCTTTTAGAACAAAAGACCTTTGTCACATTTGAAATAGATATATATAAAATTTGCTTTTTCATCTGTTCGTTCAGTTTGCTTAAAACATGTTCTTTCCTTTTTATATCTTTAATGTAAGTAATAGGGTGTCATTAACTAATTTTAAAGCAACATTATAAATGGATTCCTGAGGTGAAGAAGTCTTAGAAAGATGGGACAAGAGGATGGGAACCATATAATTAGATGTAGATTTTTCAGTGACATACTTAAGATTTTGGGGAGTAATATTTTCATTGGGCTAATTAAATCATTAAGTTAACCAACCAGTTATACCCAATATTCATGAGATAATAAGAAGGTATCGTAAATCTAGGGTTATGCTTAGTGTGTAATTGTATACCAGAAGCAGATTAACTAAGTATATAGAGAGTAAATTGTAGATTTTGGAAGACAGTTGTGAGCTTAAGGAATACAGCGGTATGTTACCCCCAATGCCTTCTCCCATTGGATGGTAATGTGAATCCCTTTCTTAATTACTGATGTGCTCAAGTGAGGTACTGTATGTCACATCATGCATTTTCCATGAATGAAGCCATTGGTTTAGATTAAGTGCTAACAAATGCATTTCTCCTACATATTTTAGAGAAATTGACTTAGTAGGACATACACCTACTCTGACCTTTTTAAAAGTGCCATTTTAGTGTCAGGGAATAATTTTCACAAAGAATTATTTATGCTGTTATCTTTATATACTTGCCAGTTACTGAACCCTCATTTTGGTGCTAGGGATGCAATGGTGTTAACAGGCATCATTCTTTTGTTTTACAGTCAGGCAGGGAAGATGGACAGTAAACAGCTAGATTCCACTAAGTCACAGTAGCAAGAGCAGTGTTTTGTGAAAAAAAAGCAAAGTGACGAGAAAGGGGGTGAACAGAACCTTTGCTTAAACTGAGGAGGTGCTAGAGATCATCAGAATGGAATATATAGTGGGCTTTATTTTTTCCAACACCTGTATTTTGCACATAAAGGACAGTCTAAGACCCGGAGAGACAGAATTTGCCAAAAGACCCCTGGCAAAATATTACAAAATCAGTTGTAAGAGTTCAGCCTTCTTAATTCTGAGGTGAAGGAAGTTCTGGAGTTCAGCCAGGCCGGATTTGGAAAGCTAAGTTCTTTCTTACCATTGACCCTCAAGGCAGGAATGGTGAGTGCATCCTGGGACTTCTTAGATGCTTACTTTGAGTTCCTCTTGGGAACAGCGCCTGCCTTTGTCTAAGGCTGTGTCACGGGGGCAGAGTCACCAGTGATGTGTCTGTGTGTAGTTCATCTGGAAGGAGCTAACGCAGTGAAGCTGAAGCTGAAAATTTAGGTGGGGTCAGGATGCCTCCATCTGTATGTTTGGAAGCAAATGGAAGACAATAAAGTGCTGTCTGAGAACTGCCATAAAATGTACAGCATGGAACAGAGAGAGAGGCAGCTTATTTCCTCCAGGGAAAAAACATTTCAGGTCTCTTTTTTGAAGTTTGCACAAGGATGATATATAATGTAAGTCAATAATGTTGCTTTATTGCCCCTTGCTTACTGTTCCTCCTATTCCTTGTCCCCAAAAGAAAGATACTTTAGACTAATATTTCACATTCCCCATGCATCTTGAACGATAATGGAAGAATTCTACAGTGTCCGATGAGATTGGAAAAAATATATTAACATCATTCATATGCAGGACATTCTGTGGATACTTCATTATTGCATGTACAGTGATTTGAGTTTTTCTTAGTATCAGCCATTATTAGAGTATACAAACATATAAAAGGGGTCTTTCAAAGCAGTTATGGTGGATTGGACAGCTTGGAAGGAGAACATCACAGTAAAACAGTGAATGGAGAGTTGGAGGTCTTAGGCTGTAATTGAAATCCGTACCAAGCACACCTTTTGTGCCTACTGCCTCACTCAGAGCATGGTTATTTAAAGCTGCCTTAGTTTTACCTAAGAAATGCAGACTCCTTCTCCTAAATGAATTGTCAGACTTCCATCTTTTTCCTAGCTAGAATCCTATTTACTTTCTTTAAGAGGTATATTTTTTGTTAACATCCAGGCTCTGTGTGCAGCTGTAGTGAAACCAGACGTGCTGGAGACAATGGCTTTGCTGTTCAGTGGTGCAGACGTCATGTGTGCCACCGGAGACCCTGTGCACAGCACCCCCTATCTGTTGGCCAAGAAAGCTGGACAGAGTCTGCAGATGGAGTTTCTGTACCATAACAAATTCTCAGGTTTGTCCCTGGTGCTGCAGTTACCCTGCTGTCTTCGGACACAGGCCGATAAGGACTGAAACACTAATCTGTTTATTTCTCAACTAAGCAGCATCGTCTGAATGAAGAAAAATATAATTACCAAAATATTTTTATATCTTTTCAAGAAAAAGTTCAGAAAATATATCTTTTGTGTTTGTTTAATCTTATAATGGGAAGACTAAAATAGTTAATCCCACATAATCATTTCCACCAAAATTAAAATACGATTTTCATACATGAATAAGTATGATGTTGATGTTTATTTGTAACTTTTATGCAAAGTAAAATAAATCTCTGTATTCAGTGGTAAATTTGAAATCATTTTTCTTTTAGCTTAAAACTCACCTATATAGTCATAAAGCAATAATTATTTATATATTGGATTTTACATGTATTATATTGTTAATTTTTCTAGATTTCCCTCAACATGACGTTCATTCTGATATGGGGCTAAGTCAAGAGCCGGCCCAGGCCACGTTCCTCTGTGACTTTTTGTATCAAGCTCCTGCTTCTGCTTCTAAAATATCTTCAGAGAAAAAAATACTTGAAGGTATCTGTTCTTCTCCTCTTAGATATTTTTCTAGATAAAATTTTATTCCATTATCAAAATAATAGGTCTTAATTTTGATTTTTTTCCTTTAAGATGTTAGATGTGGTCGAGCAGTAGAGATACTTTCTGAGCATCTATAAATTAAATGCTTCTAAGTACAGATATTATTTCAGGAATCCAGCAAGGACGTAGTACTGAGTTAGAATGCTGAGTGAATTCTGTGCAGAATTCACTGTTCTCTCCGTTATGAGCCAAGCAAATCTGTTTCTGGTTTCACATATTATTCCAAAAGAGCTAAACAAACAGACAAACCAGAAACTCAGAACTCAGTCTCTTCCTTTATGGATTGACATCCCAACGAGGTGGACAATAAATGAGCCCGAATAGGAAGCACTCACAAGATTTTATCTTAGGCTGAGCTTCCCTTGCCTCAAGCACATGAAACCTGAGTGTTTTGGATTTTGGGTTCCAGACATTTTTGCATTTAGGAATATTCAGGTGTGTACAATTGGGTATCTTGGAAATGGGATCCAAGTCTTGATATTTTGTATATATCTTAAAGACACTCAGAAGGTAATGTTATACAATATTTTGAGTAGTTTCAAGGGTGAAACAGTGTTTTATTGTGTGCAGATTTCTGCTTGGGGCATCATATTGGTGCCTAAAACGTCTTGTAGTTTGAATTTGCAGGCTAGGAATGCTCAACGTGGTCTAAGCATTAAGTTAGATTCTTAAATTTGTTCCATTTAGAAGTTTTGTGTGTGTGTGTGTGTGTGTGTGTGTGTGTGTGTGTGTATGTATGTGTGTATGTCTATATATGTCTTTAAAAGAAAACCTGAGCCTGGTTTCAAAAAAAAAGATGGCATAAATTTGATTTAACAACACATTTTAGATATGAGATGAGAAATTATCTGAGCAGAGTCACATTGATCACTTATCTCTTTATCCATGTGACTATGTGACTTCTTGTGTCAGGTTTGGTACAGCATCGGGAACATAGAAATGAGTATGATGTAGCCTTATGCTTTTGCTGTTTACACTTGAACTGTGTTGAGAAATATTGGCAGGAAAATACGATGAGCCCAGTCTCACTGAAACAAAGAATATACCAGAGCAATTACCTTATACAAGCCAATTGATGATGGACACTTACTGGTTTGGCAATCTAACATTAATTCCTAAGGTGATATAATTCAACAAAAGCATTCAATCAAGGGGACAATAGGATGAAACATTCTCATTTTAGAATGTTAATCCTCACACTTCTGCATTTGAAATGATTATTTAGGTATACACTCTTTACAGGTCTCATACCCCTTATTGGAAATGCTTGGGACAAGAAGTGTCTCGGATTTCAGATTTTTAGGATTTTTGGAATTTGTGGATGCTTTAATACTTGAGCATCCCTAATCCAAAATACAAAATGCTCCAAAATTTTAAATTTGAGTTTCACTGAAAGTTAGCACTTTCAGATTTTCTTTTACATGTGTTAAACCTGTATTTTAAAAAAATGTATTTCAAAGTAGAATTATATTAGGGTTAACTGTACTTTATTAAATTTTCCTAAAACACCTGTCTTTTAGTGAGCACGTACTATATGTAAAGTAGGGTATTGCTTCAGGTACTTTGTATGCATTAGTTATAATCCTTATGAAAGTTCTGCGAGAAAGGTGATGTACCAATTTCCACATGAAGAATGAACGGGTTCACTAGGAATCAGAATTTTACCCCCGACTAGTATTATAATGATTGCCATGACACTTTGGCCTTAGTCACAATTTGACAGCCAGAAAAATAGGAGAATGAAACAGCATTCTTATCTTTGAACTTAAATATTTCTGATTTACAAATTGATTTTTATTATTTGCCTTTACTCAGTTTAACTAATAATTGACAGATGACATAGAGATTTTTAAATTCTTCTATTTTTCCTACCAGTGTTTATTCCTTAACTATTTGAAAGGTAACTGATCAGGGAGGTTAAATGTACCCAGATAACCTATGAATTGACTATTACAATTATTAAAATAATTTAATAAAGCAGGTAATATACTTATCAATAAGTTTACAAGTTTCTCTAATGTTTTGTAAGTATTCAGATTAATTCTTCCAACTACTACTTTTACACAAAGATCAAGTTGGGAATTTGAAACTTTTTTCAGATTTGAACTTTTTTCCTTAAACTTTTTGAATTTGAACTTTTTTCCTTAAACTTTGCAATGTATATTATAAGCATTTTTTAGGCTAAACATACATTTATAAACATCAGATTGCTTTAATATTTCTTAAAGCCAAATTTTTTAGATTGAGTAATGAATTGATGTCAAAACATTTATAATTACATTTTCCTATATCTTTTATAAGTCAACAGATAAATTTTTGGTTAAAAATTCTTATAAAAAACCGAAACTGTTACATCTATACAGTTGTGCTTCAGTATCTACGGAATATTCACTCTAAGGCCCCTTGTGGGCATCAAGATTTATAGATGCTCAAGTCCTACTTACAGAATGTATAAAATGGTGTGGTACTTTCTTACCTCTTCCCATATACTTTAAAGTATATCTGTTTATAATACAGTTACCTGTTACTTGATGCGGTGGAAATAGTGTGTATGTACTTGTACTTTATTGTTTAGGGACTATTGACAAGGCATGTCTGTATGTAATGAGAACAGATACAGTTTTTTCCCCACATATTTTATATCCATGGTTGAGTAAATACTTGGATTTGGCACCACAGATAGAGAGGGTGCACAATGTATGTAATTTCTTTAGGGCTGTTTTCCCATTTGGAACATTGTTCTAAAAATAATGTCAAAATGAATTGCTGAGTTGTAGCTATACAGCGTGTTAAAAATGATTTCATTTGAAAATAATCTTTTAGCAGGGATTTTGGTTCTCGTCCTCTTTTCCTCTATCCAATTTATCAACAAGTTCTGTAGTTTCCATCTTAAAATAGAACCTCTGCAGACATCATCCTAGCCCCTGTCTGTACCCTGTCCTGTCCTTCTTGCATGCATCCTTCCGAGTATGCTCCCTTTAATCGCCTTGGATCTTCGGTCTGCCTTAGCTTTGCCCTGGAATTTTACAAAACAGGCCTAATAATCTGTAATGCAAATTGGACCCTGTAGTTCTGTTGCTTAACTTCATGCAGCAGCTTCTCATTTCTATTTCTCAAAATGACCTGGACAGATCTTCTCATGCTTCCCGCTTCATCTCCTGACTTTCCTCTGTGCATGCCCATGCCTAGCTATACTGGCTTCCTATCTGTTCCTGGAAATGCCAGCTGGATCTTTGGAGTTGCCATTTGCTTTTAAAGGAGGGCACTTTCCCCAGGCAGAATTTTTAACTCACTAGAGATCAATAATTTACACAGCCAGCAAGGCCTCTCTGTCACCTATTAAAGCATCCTACCACTGGCAGTTCTTCTCGCCCATAGGATGCTGCACATTTTCACATGGCACTTCCAACATGAAGACAATTCCTTCTGCACTTCTTTGTTTCTTCCTCCTTCTGTAATTCCACTGCTCATTTTCATTCTGCAGCTCAATGGGGCACTGGCTTTTTCTAGCTTGTCCAGGATTATCGAATCTTTGATACCTAAAATGATGGTGACAGAGCAAATGTTAGCTGAATGAGTGACCATTTTTTTAAACCAGTTACTAGCAGGTTAAGAGAGCAAGTCACATGTTAATATTTAGTTTTCAATCAGATTAGTGGTTTTGCTTGGGTTTTAATTGCGTGCAGTCATCTGAGACCTGAAAATATTAAATAGAAAATTATACAACATTGAGTAAGTTTGTATTATAATATGTGTTGTATAATTGTTCTATTTTATTATTGTTGTTATTTTCTTGCTGTACCTGATTTATAGTTTAAATTTTTCCATAGCTGTGTATTTATAGGAAGGAATCATATGTGTATATGTATATATATATATGCATACACACACAACTATACATATATTCCCACAAACAGACATACATATACACTATTATCTACAGTTTTAGACATTCACGGAGTGTCTTGGATTGTACCTCCCCCAAGGAAAAGGGAGGACTACTGAATAAATTCTGACACAGAGAATATTTTGTTCAAAAAGAGCACACTTAAAAATGAAGGAGGAAAAGAACTATGAGGAGACAGAGTTCTGGGTTTCTTTTCTCCTTTCAGGATTCTGCAGTGATGTTACTGTTATTGAATACCAGCTTCATGGAAAAAAATGAATTATTTGGAAAGATTTAGATTATAGTGTGGTTGTACCTTTGCCTCTGGAAGGCAAAAACCTGGAATACACCACTCCGTCAGCGCTTGTCAGGAAGTCCAGAGAGCGAAATGATTAAAAGCGAAGACAAAGGCTGGGGGTGAAATGCATGCATCCTTCCGAGAGCCGCAGAGCTTCACACTGTCAGTTTTCCTCTCAGGATCTGAAGTCCTTCTAGCTCGGTTATGAAGACTGATTTGTATTTTTGTTTTTTTCCTCTTAGTTTAGTGTTCATGAAAAGAAAGATTGATAGCTGTTGTTAAACCTAAGTACAGAGCTGAATAATAGCCTCCTAGATTTGTTTTCCTTTTTTCCTCCTCAACCATATTTTTCCCTTGGTATCTAACTTTGATTTGTTTACACAGTGTTTCCTTTCTTAAAAGAAAGTGGTTGATACGGTTTACTAGAAACTCTGTTTCAATCTGTTTATATTTAATTTCCTAGATTAGCATTGACAATTCTTGAAAATCCTTTGTTCTATAAAAACTTCGGTTATATAATTTTAAAATATGTTTTTTTCAAGGCTGAAACATATTTATTTAGCTAAAAACACATCTGGATGTGTACTCACTCGTGATTTCAGTGAATCCTAAATTTCCTCAATTTAGGAAATTCTTCATTAGGAGACACCTTTGTGATTCTAAAAATAATAGTTTTACCTTATGTACTGCAGATCTATTGTGCACATGTATATTAGAAGATGTGACTTCCTCTCTACCCAGTACATTTAAAAATGGATTTAGGTGATTCAAACATGGAACAGACATGCGGTTGTCTTGCAGTGGTTAAGACAGTAGCTTGCAGAATTCGTCTGCCTGGGTTATGCTCCTGCTTGGATACTAAACACCTGGGTGACTTTAAGAAAGTCAATGAAATCTTAAATGTCTGTGGAAAGAGTACATGGAAGTGGTATAATAATGGAACTGACCCAATAAGGTTATTCTGAGGATTCAGTGAATTAAGACATATAAGATATGTAGCATGGTACATACCACGTAAATATATTGGGATGACCGTAGCACCAAGCAGAAGGGACCGTCGATGGATTACATGTGAATACAGCTACTTCTGGCTTTCAGTTGGTTTTTGTGTGTAACAGCTGTAGCTGACAAGGTGCCTAAGTAGAGTATCCAGACCCTTCGAGCATTTAGAAAGGTAGCTTCTGTAGTTCTTCACCTGCTTTGGGGTAAATCTTACATTCCCTTTCCCGTTCCAGTCTAAATATTACAAATTAATAGAAATAATCTCTCTGATCATTTCATCCACTTTACTTACATCTCCTAACCAGGCTCCTATCAAACTGCTGAGACCTGACAGCCACCCATTCTGTGGCCCTAAGTTTATATTGTTTGACATGTTCTAGAAACTAACAGTAAGACTTGTGCCACTGAGAGGGTTTCCTGGAGGGTACTGACGTTTCCTAAAATCAAGAGGGCACATCTAAATTGGCCTAAACAGAGCAATATTGTTCAACATAATTTTGGGAAAACTTCTTAATGCTTCCCAAATCAATAGGAATATCAAGACTTTTTACCACAGCTTTGTTATTGTAAGTCCTCCAAGGTAATAACTCTGCCCGCCTTGTCTGACCTTTGGCCCACTTCCCTTAGGAATATAAAGCGAAGACATGCTTAAAGAAAGGATAGTGCTAAAGGACTAAATCTCTTCCAGCCCACGTTCCTATCTTAAAATGAGTTTGTGTGCACCTTTTTAAAAGAGATCTGTCATTTGTTTCCTATTAGAATTTCCATAATTAGGTTCTGCATTCAGGTTTAGTTTATGCGTCATTCATAAGGCCTTCAGATGTCTCCCACTTGTCTACCGCAAGAGGCACAAGCTCCCTAGCACTTGTCACTGGAGACTCTATGGGCCTGGCCTGTGCCTCGAAGCTGCAGTCTTGTGTCCTGTTTCCTGCCTTCTCGTGTAATCTGATTGTCCAGCCAAATAGTATTTTACATTTTCCCCCTGCTCAGACTTTCCTCACACCGTTCTTTGTCAAAATTATAAAATGATTGTAGCTTTGAGTGCATTTCTTTTAGAAATGTGCCTTCCCAGTAATAAAGGCCTATTGCAAAAACTGCTTTTTTTGGTAAAGTGCTTTCTGATCACTCCAGTCCACGGGTGACTCCTTCCTTGAGTGCCACAGAGGGACCACGTGACAGCTGCCATTGCAATGGCATCTCCCCCTTCATGGCATTACAGACTGATAGCAGCAGCATCGGGTAGAACTCCATTCGGTGCCAGGGTTTATTTGTGTATTGAATATTGTGCGTTTCCCTTTTAGTTTTCATGAATATTATTTTGGTCATCAGACTGTCTTATTTTGAAACTATTTCATCATTACTTTTGATTAGTACAATGTCCTTTTTATATATCTTAGAAGTAAGCGATGATTATTTATTTAAAAACTAGGGGCTTTCATGATTTCTTTATATAATAGTTCAGCATAAATTCTGTGACTCAGGATTTGAGGGCCCTGGAATAACACATCACTTTCCACTTGAAACTGATGGATCTCTGGTAGCCTTCTTTTCCTCTCCCCGTAGAGGATTTCTTTGTGCTGGGTGCTTCTGCTAGTTATAGTTCTCCTTGCCCTTTGGCAATATATTTTTTAGAATATGGGGATTCTATACTTCTTAGAATTTCTATCTTTTGAGTGTTTCTTCTAGTGATACATTGTCTTGCCTTTTTTTTTTTTTGCTTGCCCCCACTTCCACCTAAGATTCTAATGATTCTAAAAGTCAGTGAGTTTATTTTTTCTTTTAAGTTTTAAATTTTTTGAATTGATTTGATACAGAAAGTTGCAAGTGTAGGGAAGAACTTCCATATACCTTGATAATCCAATTACCAGTATTTATAATAGCTTTATCCTAATTTTTTTCTGTGGATATGCTTATGTACACAACTCATACATATACACATACGTATTTGTGTATATATCTGTCTTTTTTTCTCTCATATTTTATCTGTGCACCCTTATGTTTAGAATCACTCCAAGGAAGTTGTAGACATGACCCTTTTCACCCCTGGTATCTGAGTATATACTTTTTGCAAAGAAAAATAACCACTGTAGAGTGACCAGAAATAGCAAATTATCTACTCTGTAGATTTTATTCATATATCTAATATATAGACTCTCTTGGCCTTAATGTTTATAGATCTCATGTGTATTTCAGATTAAAAATGAATGCTGCTTATATAATTTCATTCTTTGCATTAACTTACAAATTGAGTTATACCAGCTTTTGGAGCACTAAAATAGGATAGTGAAGTGATAATTCAAAAATAATTCCTTTTATCTAGGGAAACTGAAATTTCTAAGCAATTTTTCCTTCATAGTATTATTTAATGCAGATAGGGTTGTAGCTCAGTGGGAGAGCGCTTGCCTAGCATGTGCCAGATTGTAGTTCAATCCCCAGTACTGCTGTATACTGTCTCCCCGCCTTTGGGCTTCACTCTCTCAAATACATTTTTCACTGTAAGCAGAATGTGTAAAAGTCAGATCTGGTTATATTCCACTGCTGAAAACCTTTCACCTATCAGATCACCAATCAGCAAACTTATGTTAAAAGAGCCTGATAGTAATGTTTAGATTTTGTGGGCCACCCCAGCTATGCTTTTCTAGAAGCAAAATAGCCATAGACAGTCCATAAACAAGTGCATAGGGCTGTGTTCCAATAAACTGTATTTACAAAAACAGGTGATGGTCTGGGTTGGCCTGCGTGCTATAACGTGGTGACCCGGAACAGGCTGCATTTTATTTGCCCTGAACAAAACATGAAAGACACTGCAGGTCTTGACTGCTTCTTCCTTTGCATACCTAGCTAATCAATAGGTATAGTTTTACTTTTTATGCTACTTTTCTTCCCCTCTTACTCTCTACAGATATTAGTCTTTGAAGTTTTAGAATTATTTTGCAACAACTGTTTGATGGAGCTGCTCACTTCTGTGTTCGTTAACCATTTTTGTCTGGGATATTCCTGGCTATAAAATTATAAATTGTTTGAGAACAGAAAGTGTGATGGCCTTATATTCTGTGCAGCACTGTCATGCGCTTTAACCAGAATTGAAAATTTATTTATTTGAATGTACTCAAAATTTAAAGCCGTGCAGTTTTTAGAAGGTAGACTTAAGTTGTAGCTCATTTTTTAAAAAAAATCATTGTTTTGCTTTTATTTATAGAGACAAATAAAAAGTGGTGTGTTTTGGAAGGAGGCTTCTTGAGTTACTATGAAAATGATAAGTCTACTACACCCAATGGCACCATTAACATTAGTGAAGTGATCTGCCTGGCCATACACAAAGAAGACTTCTATTTAAATACCGGGTAGGTCTACCATTAAACAGCTAGGAATGGAAAGGTATTCACAGACAGTTACCATACCAGGTAAAGCGGATTTTGTTAACATTTCATGTCTTCAGTTTTTCCCTGTAAAGGATTTAATGGTATCTTGAAGCCTATTCATCTTATACTGTCTAAAAGTTCCTTAGGAAAGTCCCTAAAAAGTGGAGAATTAAAATATGGTAAGTAAAATGAAAGGCAACATGTTTGCATGCAATCCTCAGGAGATTTATTACATACCAGTAATTATTGTAGCACTTCGACTTTTATGATTTAGGCATCATTTTAAATAGTAGACTAATGATAACATTTATATATTTGATTAATGAGTATCATGGTTAAAACAGATGAGAAAAAGTATTCAGTGCTGACTGGCTCATATTAAAATAAAAACATATCAAATATATTCAATACCATATTCAATGCTCAGTTTCTTAAAGATCTATTTGGCATTTTGATAGCCCAAAGAAATTGCAGTTAAAAGATTAAATATTATTTATGTAATATGTTTGAGATACTTAATAGTTTAAATGGATTCTGTGAAGAGTTTTAGAAAGCATGTAAGATCCTACATTTTGCAATATAATTAAATGAAAAACTATAAATATTAAAATCTAAGTGGACACTGAAATGAATACACATTTCTCAGAAAGGCACAGTGGGCTAATGAATACATGAAAGAATGTTCATTGTCTTGGCTATTAGAGAAGGCAAATTAAAACAATACTGAGATTCCATCTTACTCCAGAAAGAATGGCCATCATCAAGAATCAAATAATAACAAGTGCTAGTGAGGGTGCAGGGAAGAAGGAACCCTTCTAGGGTGTTGGTGGGAATGTAAACTACAGCAACCGCAGTGGAAATCAATATGGTGATTCCTCAGGAAAATACAAGTAGAAATTCCATTTAAACCAGATATTCCCCGTCTATGTATTTTCCCAAAAGAGTTAAAGACTTCATCATATTACAGTGATACATGCACACTGATGTTTATAGCAGCATAATTGGTAATAGAAAAACTTTAAGCAGCCTGTGTGTCCATCAACAGATGAACAGATAAAGAAGATGTGGTATCTATACACAGTGGAGTACTGCTCTGCCATGGGAAGGATAAATTCCAGTCATTTGTAGGAAAGTGTGTGTACTTTGAGACCTTAATGTTAAGTGAAATAGCTCAGACACACAAGCTTAAATATTGCATGGTTTGTCTTATATGAGAAACCCAAACTATAAATAGAGCAAATTAAAAGATAATCAGTAGGAGATAGGGAGATAGATCTTTCAGTAAGAGGGAAGGGGATCTAGAAAAGAAGGGAGTGAAAGGGAAGGGAGGGGGAAATGCAAAAGTATTGAGATGCGTTGTGTACATGTCTCAACTCCCCACGAGGATGTGATCATTATGTACTGTAAACATGTACTAGTAAAAAGTAAAAATTGGAAGAAAAATCTAAACCAAAATTTTTTTAGGATCACAGTATTTCAATATATTTCTAGATGAGGGAAGAGATTTGTAGAGAAGTTAGTTATATAAAATCATGTGATCTGTATTGTCATTATTAAATAATACATTATTATGTCACAATGGGTAATATATGAACAGTATACACCAGCATTACATTAGGTAGTAATGAACAATAATGACCAATATACTAGTTGAGATGACTTGCTTTCTGGTAAATCTAAGTAGATTTTGATATTTACAAAGCTAATTATGAAAGCTGATTTGCTTTCATTTTGATCTAAATAGTGCTTGTATTCTAAATGAATAATCAGTTTAATGTGGTTTGCCATGGGATGTGAAAACAAGTGCCTTCTATCTATTAAGTTGTTTACTTAATAAGATACAGCTTAAAAGAATTAATATTACTTTATGGCAGCATATGAACATATTGAAAGTAAAAAATTCTGATAAAATGCGATTGATACAAGTAGATTCGCATGTTTAATAATAAGAGATTACAAAATAATTCTATAGCCCAATTCATTTTTTTTGGTTTTTCTCCAGTACTGGGAACCGAACTCACGACCTTGCGCTTGCCAGGCAGGTGCTTTGCCACTGAGCTAAATCCCCAGCCCCTCCATAGCCCAATTCGGAATTGCTGTTGTCTGCTATAGAATTTGAACTCTGTATTGTAATGTAGACACTGAACAATTATGCAGATCTGTATCTGAAGAGAACTAGCAGAAGTGGTAAATAAGAGATTGGAGGAAGAAAACTCATAACTTCCAAGAATTTAGAGGAAAAGATGATTAAAGGGGGGCAGGAGGACTAAGAGAACCTAAGGTTGAGGTGACGAGATTAAAGTATTGTACTGAGTGCAGAGTTGGTGTTCAGGGAATAGTAAGTTAAACTTCAAGGTTTGGGGCTGTTGATGAAGTTGGTGGCAGTGCCTTTAAGTTGGGACATGCCAAGAGATACATCAGATTTGGTATACAGTATTTCTCGATGTTTAGAAGCGGTAGGACACACATTTAGTCTGTACCAGGAAAGAGTTGGAGCTGAAGGTGAGGAGATCAAGGAAGGATTCAAGACATAAGATGTTACTCTTACATTTTCTATAGTGAAAATGTGCAATTGTGTCAGCAGATGAAATGATGGATGGAGGACCTGTGAAGTGAGATAAGAACAGGATTAAAAGCAGTTTGGTCAGTTTTTTGAGCATTTATAGTAATAAGAAAGTGGGCACCGCGTAGAATCCTTATTAAGCCGGTCTACTGGTGAGTGTCCAGGGCATCAACAAAGCCATGGTGGAGAGGGATTAATCAGAAAAATGTTCCTTCTGTCTTATCCAGTGTATTCCATGTAGCTTCTTTAAAAAAAAACTACAGAACAGAATAATGTTATAAATAGGTTGACTTTACAACATTATCCCATTCTTAAAAGGAATTTAATTAAAACCTTGACATTTGTGTTGTTCTCACAAGAGCCAAGAATAACTGATGATATTTTTTTATTCGTGGGTGCTATAGGCCTGTTTTTATCTTTGAGATCTACTTACCTTCAGAGCGTGTGTTTTTATTTGGAGCTGAAACATCTCAAGCTCAAAGAAAATGGACGGAGACTATAGCCAAGGTATTTAAATATTATATTGCATTAGTCAAGAAATGATACTTAACTTGAAGTCTGTACTTGAGCTTCCGGAGTCCAGGGAGTTTTAAATAAGATTCAGGGAATAAGCTCCATACTTAATAGATTTCCAAAGACTACAGTCAAAGGAGGTTAAAAGCCACCTTTCTGGTGCCTGAGACAGACAAGAAACTAACTTAGCACCTTAGGAAAATCATTCTCAGATTCAATAAAAGATATGAGTGGACAAAAGCGTGGAAAATTGACATTTTAAAAAATATCACAAATCCACAAAGAAAATGTCTCACTTTTTAAAATCTATATATAGCAAGAAAGAATGGCTTAAGATACTGCTATTTGAAGATTAATTTTAGCTGTTCAATTTTAAGACCAATACAACTTTAAATAAAATGGTTTGAATTTTGGTTTACATATGAATCTTTAAGATAGAAGAAGTAAGATTTTTTTTAACTTTTGTCATATCTATAGATAGGGAAGGAGTTTCCAAGTTTCACTGTCTTTATTATTTTTCTGTATTTGTTTTAACAGCATTTTGTTCCCTTTGTTGCTGAAAACTTAACAGAAGCTGATTATGATCTGATCGGTCAACTCTTCTACAAAGACTGCCATGCCCTGGATCAGTGGAGGAAAGGCTGGTTTGCTATGGATAAATCTAGTTTGCGTTTTTGCCTTCACATGCAAGAAGCTCAAGAAGATAGAATGCATTTAAGACGACTGCAAGAGCTAAGTAAGATGTGTTTTCTAACCCCCTTTCGGGTATAATTCTATACTGGGTACAATAATGTTAGCTTTTATATCAAGTTATAATAGTTTATGGCTGAATTTACATCTAAGTAGTAGTGATAGCTGTGTCTTTCTCAATAACATTTAAAAAGTACCTTTATGCTTTTTTTAAAAATCCCTTCAGCAACCAGCACAATGGTTCAAAATGGGGAAAAGCTGGATGTCTTATTCCTGGTAGAAAAAGGGAGGTAAGTGCCTTTCTGCTTTTTAATCTTTTATCTCAACAAATCTGGGGAATGAGATACAGTATTTGGGTTGTTTTCTTAAAAAAGAAGCCAATATTTTACACTTTTGGAAGAATTTTCTGAATTATATAACTATGAACTTTCTTTGTAGAAAGATTATACTGATGAAGTCTGCATATTTTTATACTTTTTTTAATCACAAACGACAATCAGTATTTGTAATTTTCTATAGAGCTAAATTTCTTTGAGACATTTATGCTCAAGTAGTTTGATAGTTCTAAACTTACTTTCAGTGTAGGTATAATACATGTAAATAATACCTTGAGTTCATCTGTGCACATAGGTGATACGTAGCTAGAACTTTATTTCTTGAAGTCATTCAGTTTTTCAGGAACTATTAATTTACTGTACTTTAGGTCTCTCATCGTTATTGGGGATACAGTGAATAAAATACAATTTCCTTGCCCTCGTGAAGATATGGACAAAAAGTAATTATGTTATATTTGTGCATCAGTTTAAATCCTAGAAATGAAAAACAAGCGAAATATAGAGTGCCTGGCACAGTAGTCTGTTTTAGCTAGGATGACAAACAAAGGAATCTTTAATAAAATACCTGCATAAAGTGAAGAAGCAAACTCTGCAGCTATTCAGATGCTATGGTTGAGCCATGAGGTCAACGGTAGCTGAAGACCCTGAGAGAGTTTTGTGCTTCAAATGTGCAAGGTCTTCAGAGAATGTGCTGTATCAGATGGGAGGAAATGATCTCAGGGGTATCCCAGGCTAGATCACAGAGGCCTTTAGAGGTCATGATGTGTACATACTTCAGTTTGATTCTAAATTTGATGGGAAGCTGCTCAGGTTGAAAGCTGGGAAGTTTAGTGATCTCATTTGTGTTTTTAAAGATTACTCTGAATCCAGATGAATGTGTTTTTAAGACAGGAGTCAACCTGGAGGTCTAGTTGTAAGGGTTTAAACAGAGGCCAGTGAACAGTTGGGTGACCTGAGAAATAGTGGTGAGGAGGGCTTGCATCTACTGTAAAAGAAAAAAAAAGTCATCGGGATCTGTTGATGAATTAGATCAGTGTAGGATTAAGTATGGGCCCCAAGTTTGGGGCCTGAATAATTTTATGAAGGATTGTGTTGTTTTTTTCAGATAACAAGTACATGAAGAATAGTGGTAGAATCAATAAGTTTAGGACAGTAAATCAAGAATTTCTCTTCGGGAACAGTATTTTTGGAAGCATCTGTTTGACAGCAAAGAGAAGTGATGGGTAGCAGTTAGATATGCAGATTGTGAATTCAGTGAAATGGCTACACCTGGAACTAGAAATGTGGCCCGCATCAGCAAGCACCATTATTTAGCCAAAGAATTGGATGGGTGCACTGAAGATAATGAGTGTAGTAGGGAAAGAGAGCTTTAATGTAGCCAAAGACCTCCGGTATTTAAAGGACAAGAAGAGAGGATGATCAGGAAAATAACCTAACAGTGAGCAGCCGTGGACATATCAGAACAATTAAAGAGGCACTGTTTCTTGAATAAATTGTTTTTTTTTTTTTCCTTTTCTTACCATTTTGGTAAAACAAAAAAGTCTCATTACAGTGTTTTAGGACAGAGCTTTGTAGCTCTGGATAACTTTTTAAAATATATACACACATGATATAAAAATACAGGGAAATTAGCCTTTGTCTTTATTTTTCTTGTTAGGGACAAGAAGTAATGGCTTTCCACAGTTGTTTGAACCCGTCTTCATAAAACTTCAACAGCGTTAGAGAGCAAAGCACAGTGCCAATTAGATGTTTCTGTTAAAGTGAGTTGTTTTGAACTTACAAGCACAATTAGGACTTTTCATTTGTACTTATTTCTTGGATTATGATGGTTAGTGATGCTTTAAATTCTGGTTTTTATATAACAAGATGGTTTCATTAAACTACCAGAGTGCTTTTAATTATATTTTCAGAAAGGCAGTATTGTGTATGCATAGGTATCAGAATGGCATTATAGTACAATGTTTGTAGTTGTCTGTTGATATTTGTGGAAGGCTTGCTGCTTGCTACTTCCTTGACAGGAAAAAAATTCACAATGCAGATGTGGCATCTGTGCTTACAGAACTCATGCTCTTAAATGGCCAAGTATCAACTTGATGGTCCAATTTATTTTGTCATTTTTTTATTACTTCTCAGATTACTATAGCCAAGTTGCTTTTCTACCATTTTTAGCCTATGAAGGTTGTGACCAGTGGTACATAGGCTTTAATTGAGAAGTTAGTAAACATGACTTAAAAGAATTGTTCAGCTTGATGGATTTTATTTAGTGCTTACTGTATGTGGCAGGTATTCCCTCATTACTGAAAGATACGGGATCCAGAAGACTACATGTTTTGGTATTTTGTATGTATTGATGTTTTTCTGGACTGTAGGGCTTGCGGGTGAAATCCATGTGTAATAGTTACTTTCCAAGTTCCTGGAATACTGGATAACTAATCTGATTCCTAAATAATAATCATGTTGTGTTTTTATAATAACTTAAAAACTTTTTAAAATCTATATGGTACTAGCAAGTTCATTTGAAAGTGTTTTTTGGTGGTGGTTGTTTTGTTTTTGAAAGAGAAGCGTAAGGAAGGAGCCAGAATGAAAGCAAAGAAATGTGGGGAATAAATATTAGCAGAGTATTCCCTTAAATCTCCCTGGATAGCAGTCCTGTCACAGAAAACAGTTAAAAGCATGTGTTCACTGCACACTTGCTGTAGTTTACTTTTCTGCTTTCTCTAAATCAGAAGTAACTTGATGTTATTAGTGACAATGATGACAGTGCATAAAATTTACTGTTTGTCAGGCAGTATTTTTAAGTATTTAAACAGCCTTCCAGTCCCCATATGGTGTTGAAAATTACTTTATTTATTTATTTTTTTGTTTGGTTTTGGTGTTTTGAGATAAGATCTCACCATGTAGTTCAGGCTGGTCTTGAAGTCACTGTGTAACCCAGGCGGACCTCAAGCTCTAGGCAGTGCTCCTGCCTCCGCCTCTCCCAGGTGCTGGGAATGCAGGTATGTGCCACCATGCCCAGAAAGATTTACTTTTTTGAAATCAGAGTACATTAAATTCAATGACTTTAAAGTTTTTTGTTTCAAAAACAAGTGGTGGATGTTAATTTACTAATATGTTTGCGTAGGTCATTCTTAAGAATCAGATCAACAAATAGTAGATAACCAAGAATCTGGTTGTAAAACATAAACTACTAGTATTTAAGATTATCCATTTATTAAAAATGAAATGTTCACTATAAAACTTTCATTAATGGTAGAAATGTACATATAGTTTCCACCTACTTAAAGGTGGAATAAATGTGAATCAAGGTAAATAATTGAATCGAGGTAAATAATGTGAATCAAGTAAAGAATCAGTCCAATAGATGGTGAATATAGCAGGTTCTAAACCCTGACAGAACAACTTTCAGTGTTCCCAGGAAGTGGCACCTTGTGTGGTTTGAGTAAGGTCCTGCATTTACTTTTTAAATTTATGCACATACTATTTATGCGCACATATATACATATGTATGTATTATGCAAATACATAACTTCAAGCAGGGAATAGTGGAAAAGGAGCAGATTTGAGGTGGAGCTTGGAAGATGATGTTTAGTTTTAGCCATACTTAATATGAAGTGCTTTAAAGACGACTGCAGAGAAATTGCTAGGAGAAGGTTATTTCTAAGAATTGGATATTTGCAAAAAGTTAATGGGGTGGAGATATAGATTCTGGAATTACAAGCACATAGAAGGAAGAAGGTAAAATTCTTTTTAAAGTCTGTATTGTGAGAAGGGAAAAAGTAATGTGTTGGAGACTTGATGATTGCATATTATTTTGATGCAGGAGGGAGTTGGCAAGGAGGAGTTGCTGCCTGTTAAGCCAGTGACCCAGGCAGGAAACCAACAGAGAGTGGCCTCCCAAAGCCCCGGAAGAGTAAGGCTGTGCATTGCATAGCAGCAGGGATGTATGTTTTAAGAAATGCATCAGTAGGCAATTTCATCATTGTGTAAACATCAGAGAGTGGCTAACAAAACCCTAAATATGGTATGTCCTTCACACTGTGTGTGTGTGTGTGTGTGTGTGTGTGTGTGTGTGTGTGTGTTAAGCCTATAGCTCCTCGGGCCATAAAGAAGTGTTATGATGGAGTCCATCTAGTTACTTCAAGGAGAGTGAAAGTAATCACATAGGTATTTATCAGATTCAGGTTGGAAACTGCCTAAAAGTAAGAACAGCTGGTGAGAACAGTGTGTGGAGCATGTCTGCAGGTTAATAGGACTAGTGAGGTAAGATACTGGACCCAGAAAGTGAATGCATGTACAGTGTGCTTTAAGGTAGCTTGGACTTTTGCATGTTTACAGATACCTGAAATGGGAGATATTGAAGGAATAAAAAAAAGGATAAGATGGAGACAGAGTCAGCTGTAACATCATGTAAAGAGGAATTGATGGATGGTGTTAGACATTGGTAGCTCTCTGAATCTGGTAAGGGATTTTTGGGAGATGCTAGTTTGATAGTTTACGGGTTCTTTGTGAATAGGAGATAAAGATGATTCGAGAGCCCTTGACCTGGGTGGCTCTGAATGTGCAGTCATTTACTGGAGGAGGGAACGTGTACTTCTCTTCAAGTACACAAACACCACTGGTTAATTGTAGCTGTGATCATGAAAGAGCTGTTTCCGTACCATACCAAAATAATCAAATTTCATTGCACTGCTCTGTCTTCATCTGTCCTTAGGCCCTTGGGAAATAATGACTGTAAGCTAAAGTAGATTACAGTAGACTTATCAATGACAGATAAAACTGTGGCTTTTGAAAATAAAACAACTTCCAATTATTCATGTTGATCGCATACAGAGATAGTGTGAATAAGTGAAAGAGAAACCAACCAGCTATAGATTTTAATCTTTATTTTTTGTTAGTATTAGCTTGAACAAGAATTTAATAAATTTAGTGAAACAATTTCATATTTTTTCTCTATT